GTTAGTTTAAACTAGCAAATAAATCAAGTTTTTTCAGTGGACAGACCAAAGGTGTGGAAGTTTGAAATTCCACGTTTTTAATTCCAACACACTTTTTTCTGGGCTTTGATTTCCTCATATACAGTATAAGATGAAGAAATTGAATTAGAAAATCTCTAATAATCTATCCCTCTCTAACATTCTATGAGTTCTGTTGAATGCATTAATTATGCCATGGTCCTTGACAAGGATTGGATTTGCCATAATGTCATTATCTTCAACTGAGAATGTCATGTGAATATTTAGTTGGTGTTCCTTTTTTCTTTCATTAGGGCCTGAGACGTCGAGGCAAAGAAAGCATTTTTTCCTTGTTACTCCCCACACCTCCAAACTGCCCAGAGAGAACAATTAATTGAGTTGTTGCCAAAGAAAAATTAGGGACATTTGTGTACATCTCATACAGAGTCTGGCTGAGTTTAGCCAATGGCCCTCCTCTACTTCTGGTTCAAAATTTAAAAAGCACATATACCCAAATAAAGTAGTGTATCCACAGTCTCCATACTTGCTCACATTCTTGCTTTCCTCTATATACATTTTCTTTCCACCCTAAGCCTTGATGGATCCAAGCTGATCTCCAAGACTAAAGAAATGCTAGGGGTCTCCCTGGAGAGTGGAAGTATGCAGAAAGACATTGGAAAGAAAACAAAAGATTGCTATGACATTGTAAGGTATATGAACTACTTCTATTTTTCCATGTCCTCAGGAACCAAAAGGTACCTAGACGCACACTACAGACTCATGATAAATATTACTAATACTTACTAAATGATAAGTACCTTTATTCAAAACAATGAACAACAATACATGTTACAAAACATTTCAAACTATACCCTACGATTAATAACTTGCTTCAGGCGCTCAGAAAGTGTCATAATCCACTAGCAATGTTTTGACACTTACTCGAAAGCCACAAAAGCCTGAAGGTCAGGAAAATCTATATCTCAGATAGCAGGTCAGTTTAAGGAATAATATACAGGCTTGCCCCGGCTGAGCATATCTGTTCTCTTCTATGGTCTGAACAAGTCAGAATCTTCTTCAGATGCAATAGTCTAAAGTTTCCAGCACCATCACAAGCAGACTTGGTTACTTTTTCTGGCTGCTCTGCCTGTTAGCTGTGTGGTTAGGCAGCTTAGTTCTTTGTATTTCCCTTTCCTCTCCTTTCAAATTAGGTTAGAAGTTGTATCTAGCTCAAAGAACGGCTTAAGTCTTCACAGAAGTCATAACAGATGTAAAGTGTTGAGAAAAGTACCTGGCATTAATAGTGATAAGCATTAAATATTAACCATTGGTGGTGGTGGTGAATGGTAGTTGGAGAAAGGCCAAGGGATGGAGGAAATAAAGGGGAGGAGGAAGCACCCTAGTGCATTCTGGAACAATTCAGACAAGCAAATTCAAGCCCCCTTCCCACTCCCACCAAAAATTTACCTGGTAGAACCAATCTAGACAGTTTTTTGAATGAGACCTTGTTTGCTGGAAGTCCAACTGGCTAACAGATTAACACACTTACAGGGCAAGGTTTGCTCCAATTCTGCCAGGGTTGAAAGCTATCAGACACTCCATGCTCAGGGAACATTGTAAAATACCAAATGGTTCCTGGTATCAGAATGTCTTCTAAAAAAAAGAGTCCGATCACCTTTCTTTAGTCTCCCCTCTGTCCTGAAGTCCTTCAAGTTAGACATGCTAAAAAGAGCATGAAAATCCAGCAGCCAGACAGAGAACATCAATGATACTGATTTTTCCCATTAAATTTGACAACACA